ACAACCGTTTCCACTCCAAGCATTGATTCTTTTCCATGACCATCACCTTCGATTTCTTGAGAACCTTTGTTATACTCAATCTTGACAAAACAAACACCATCGTGATATTGACCAACATGTACTTTTCTAACACCGTCGAAAACACCATCATCCCATAAATCTCCTTCATCACCACCTATTGCTTTCAGTTTCTTTGCAGGTATCAATGGAGTTGAGGTTATTGGAGAGAAATAAGCTCCAAGAGAATTGAGATGAGAATCGGCGAAACCATGAAAACCAATGATCTTCTTGTCTTTAACTTCAAGTGAAAACTCTTCACCATCTCCATATCCAAAGGAATCAGAAGTCTTTGTGTTGGTTATAAATTGAATTCCTTGAATGATATTGCTAGAATCAAACCAACCCTTGACGGAAACAAGATACTCGGTTGGATGATTAATCTCAATCTACACAAAATCACGACTGTTAGCAAAATTTGATCGAAAACATTTGATTGAGAACAAAAAGAAAAAAATTACGAACCGTTGAAATGGAACCTCTTTGTCTAACACCATGAAAAGCTCCTTCCTTTGTTTCTCCGTTCTTTAAATAATCGAATTTGATTTGTTCAATCCCTAAAGCACCAGGTACAATGTGTATCTTCGTCACACCATCGTGATTTGCTCCGTCGTCCCACTGATTTCCTCCTTTGCCTCCTTGTACTTCCAATTTTTGAGGATTTGAATCAATGTTCGATCCGCTTTCGGGAGTAGTTCCAGGTCCTCCGGGAATAGTTTCTGGTCCTCCRGGAGTAGTTCCAACGCCTCCTYCGGGATTAGTYCCRGGTCCTCCTGGAGTAGTTCCRGGATTAGTCCCGGGCCCTCCTGGAGTAGTTCCAGGTCCTGCGGGAATAGTTTCAGGTCCTCCAGGAGTAGTTCCAATGCCTCCTCCGGGATTAGTTTCTGGTCCTCCTGGAGTAGTTTCGGGAGTAGTCCCGGGTCCTCCAGGAGTAGTATTGGGTCCTCCAGGAGTAGTACTAGGTCCTCCGGGATTAGATCCTGTGCTAGTGACGGGAGGAATAGGAGCAAAGTGAACGTCGATGGAGTTGAGAGCATTGCCACTGGTTCCTAAGAATCCGGCGATCTGATTACCGTTAGGTGCGTTAACAGAAAAATAGTTTCTCGATTTGTTTCCGTATGGCCCATACGTCTTCTTATTCGTCTTAAACGCTAACGCCGTTATCACGTCACCGGAAAAAACCGTTTTGTAGTAACCATTCACCTCCGTTATGTATTCGTCTGGGCTTAGCGTAAACTGCC